CTTAATTTACTTATGCTGACAATGGTGAGCTTCTTTCTCTAAATTCTTCACGAGAACAATAAGAGACGTTGTAGCACTTGAACCGTTCTAAAATGAGAACTCAGTAATAAATTGGACTTGTTGGTCTGAGGTGGCCAACAAAGTTAAAAATAGATATATAAAGCTCGATTAGTTGCTGGTCAGATGTGGAAGTTGGGTAAAATAGTGCAGCGGTGAAGAAAGCACTGGCAAGGGAGGTCGTTCAGAGGTGTGGAGCGCTTTTTCAAAACGGTTTTTGCATGCTGTAGGGGCTCTCACGGGGACTACAATACTATGTTTCATTTTCGCTGAGCGGCCTTCTGAAGGCCAAAAAATGGTAAAGAAGTGGTCCAAGGTTCAATCCCTCTTGATGACAAAATTTTGCACTTTAGTTGGAGCTCGAAATTCGCTTAAAATAGCGCCAGCACCAATACTTAGGTATCGTACTCATCATCAAGACCATGAATAAGTTTGCACTCGAATTTTTGCCAGAATCTGGCGGAAAAAAGTTGTAGTGCCAGAAAGGGGCCAAACGCCAAACTAGCGTAAATTGAAGCTATCGGAAAAAATTAATGTCATATTCGTGATCAGGGCACTCGATATTTTTAAATTAGAAGTTTTAGAGAAGATTGTGACCTTGATCAGAAAATTTGATAAGTCACTAGCCCATTGGTACCTCCTTCCGGTGAACTGTAAACGAGTTCCTTATTTCTCAAATAATGAGAAGTTCACAACTGAAATGGACAATGGCAGACACCCAAGCTGGTAATGGACAACAAGACACCATGATTTGAAGTCGACAGATTCTCTCCTCCATCAAGACGTGATATTTTGGGTCCACGGCTCCTCCACTCGCAAGGCTTCATCTCGATAGCTGGAGCGATTTCAAGGACTGCGACGTGAAGGGGGAATATCCCCATGAAAGCGAACTTTGGTTTCCGTTTCAAAAGTCCAAAAGAGCAGCCCGCTTGTCTTCCGTGCCACGCTCTCCTTCAAATGGCCCGCCGGAGTGCATGACGACCCGAATATAGCCAATTTACTCGGGGAACAGGTCAACAGAATCGTTAGCTCGTCGCGCCACCGCGTGCGGCCAATCGTGCGGCGAGGGGCGGAGCCTTCAGGACGAGTGTTGTCTATATCGACTTCTGAGTAGGATGGCGATCTTCATACTCTCTCTTTGTGACTAGTAGGATGTTTTACAGCGTGAAACTGAAAGTGGATAGACTCAACTAAGATGACCGTGATTTTCTAAAATACATTGCTCATCAATATAACCGCCTGTGATTCGACGTTATTTGTTCTTTGGTAATTGCAGAACTTAAGAATTGGAAATTCTTCTTTGACACGGTTTCCCTAACTTATATCTTGAATTATTCATATCAAATTTTAACTAACAGATGTAAGTGGTTATTAATAAACGAAAGAACTTCTTTTTAGTTACCAAGACTCATGCTCTTCCAACCACTCCTTAAAAATGAGTAGCGAGTACTACCCACGTGCTTACGAGGCAACAGAGCTGACGCTCGCTACTATTTTCCAGTGAGAATTGTGTGGATGCTATGAACAAAAACTTTTGCATTGACCTTCCTGAGGGCTCTCTAACAACAAATTGAAATGAAATCTTTTGTCGTTTACGAGATATTTCTGTTACTTTCCCGAGCAACAAAGATCTTGTCTGACCCAGTGCAGGAAACATGAGCTTGGGGCGAAGCCGCCAGCACCGTATGTTTAATCATACTAATATATAAACCAGAGTTTGTTTGTCTGACCGCTCCCCAAAAATTCGCAAGTGTCCCCCACATGTTTATAATTCTTCCTTCAAAAATCACCTAGGAGGGCGGGTCAAGTTTGGAATGGGTAGAGTATGAGTCGCTCTATAAGGGAATATATTGGCCATGCTAAACTCCGCCTCCAGTGGGCGGGGCGTGCGTCAAAAATCGAAAATTTCGTTGAAAAATTGCAGTTTTTGGCTTCAGAACAGTCCAAAGACAGGGAAAAATAGGGCCTTAATAGGGCACTTACCGCTCTATAAGGGGAATATATTGGCCATGCTAAACTCCACCCCAGTGGGCGGGGCATGCGTCCAAATAAGTGAACACGGCAAAACATTTCGTTCAATTCTCTTTAAAACATGATACCACGTGAAATGAGGGTTCGGGTAGAGCATGAGTCACCCCTATCATACTTATTATATAAACCAGAGTTTGTTTCTCTGTCCGCTCTCCTAAAATTTGCAAGTGTCCCCCAAATTTTCCCTGTTTGATCAGAGGCAAATACCTCTGATCAAACGGGGGAAAGTCGTCGAATTCCCCACTTTTACGCTTGATTATTTTTTCGCCATAAATCATCAAAAACCAGGATGGCGTTAGGATAGCCTTTAGAGGCGAGAAAATTCTTACAAGGAAAGGCTCCAGTCACATGGCCATCTAGAAAGAGATTATACCATTCAAGTATGGCCCTCTGAATCGCCTGATCTTCAAATGTACCTTCCAAATCTGCCCTAAAACGATGTGCGTGAAGGTATTATGAAGCAAAACAGCGCAACTATTGAGGTCGGGATTCGCAATCAAAACGTCGTAGGAACGGTCTTAAAGCGTTCACTGTCTGGCATTCTTGAGGAATTAGATCAAATAGGCTATTGAAAGCCTTTTAGCTGTACTCTGAAGAAGGCAAAACAGTTGACGCGATCAGGGGCCGATCCTACGACGTTTTGACTGCAAATCCCGACCACTACCGTTGCGCTGTTTTGCTTCATAACTCCCTTCAGAAATCGTTTAGCAGATTTGGAAAAGTAGATTTTAGATTCAGCGTTCAGAGGCGCATCTTCTGGTATACATCTCTTCTAGAATGGCCTTGTCGACCTGGGAGCCTTTCCTTGTTAATTGTCTTGCCTTCTCCCATTTTTTTCCACCCTCAGTCTCCTCCGTTTCACGTTATACCTAGACTCCCCGAGACCCAAAACCACTCCCATCAATAACACTTCTGCCATGTTCCAGATACCCAAATACATGAACGTAAGCGAACGAGAAGGCCTACAAATATGCTTCCCTAAATTAAAGATGCTTGACAAAAAAATCCGTGACTTCATCATCGTGTGCACAAAGCAAAAAGAGAATGATAGAAATGAACTATTCATTCTGTGCATGAAATACCCTTCAGCTGGCTGAGCACTGCTCAGTCTGGCGGGGTGTAAATAGGTGTAAACTGGGTATCCCACTGCATTTATAATTCTTTTCTAAGACGGCTTGAAAGGTAGGTCGATCTTGAGCAGAACTGTTGTTGTTGACAACTTCTAGCTATCAACCGATACGGATTATATGCATGAGTTTTCTCCTAGGGGGTCGGAATTGATCACCTCTCACATTCACTGGATGATGTCGCAGCAACCAAAATTCTATGAGGTCATGTAGCATCGACCGATATCGATTGAAATTTGGTTTTCGTGCGGAGGTCCCGAAAAATGGTGTGTCACACACAACCCGGTTGATCAAAAAGTATTTTCCAGTCGAACATTAGGAAGGGTACTCACCTTAGAGACACAACATGGCATTGTGAAGCTGCCTCGCGAGAGAGGTTGTAGCCCTTCGAAGAAAGATCATTTAGGAGCTGCCGTAACATTGCTGTCCATTCAGCACTTCCACCGTAATCGAAAAGCACTCCTTATTCAGGTGCAATTTCTGGCTCCTTGATCGCCAAATTTTGATAATTGCACGCCTTTGTGATGTGAAATGCTGTTGAAAATTGCCGTCAACTCGGCCCATTCATACGTGTACCTGACGTTACCGTCGCAGTGATTGTTTTTGCAGCAGCTCTTTTGCTAATGCTTACTTACAACTTACATGTCGACGACAAAGGTACCTCTACTAATGCTTTCGCCTAGCAGACATCGTAATGATCGCAACGAGCACCTGGAATGGTCCAGTGTCCCCAGTGGAAATTGGCCAGCCCCAAACTACTAGCCCGTTAGCAGACCATACTACGTACTTGCCACGCCCCAAAAATTTTACAGCTAGGTTCCACTAGCAGCTTCCTGCAGCTTCGTACCTCATAATCGCCTCTTCTCCTTTCTTTCTCTCAAGCTATCTTGCCCTCACTCTTTGCTTTTCTTTGCTGCTATCGTTTTCAAATGAACAGGTTCCCTCTGCAACAAAGTACTCTCCTTCCATTCACGATTAGCAGAAGTAGAGAAGAAGGAAGTAGTGACCG